GATTTTACTTAGGGATGATTTTAAGAATAATTTTAATAGGAATAACAGCTTCTAATATTTGGTTTTTAATTTGGTTTTATAGGGGTCTATATTTTTTGTATTTTGTATTTGTACTTGTTTTAATATGCTGTGCACCGCCCTGAGTCCTGCGGGAGAAGGGCGGTATATAAATTAAATTAATAAAAAAAAAATAAAAAAAAAAATAACTCAAGGTGCTAGTTATTATCTATAAAACAGTACATAATATAGGGCCTGGAGGACTGTCCGTTTTCCATAGCTCTTGTCCATCCTAAATTATCTGGCACAGTTGGCATGGTAAGGGTCCCACCAATTAAACTGTATCATCTGATGCAGCCCTTAAAACTTGGCTATTCCCTCAGGCCTTGGGCTGGAAAGGATGATAGACCTCTTGTGAAACAAGTAGCATATAGGAATTCATGTTATTTTTCTCTAAACATTTGTTTTTTTATTGTTTGTACAGTACTTTGTACACTACTCACAGTCATTATGGAGTTGTGCAGCCTATACCATGTTCCCCCCCAAAATAAGACCAGGTCTTATATTAATTTTTGCTCCAAAAGACGCATTAGGATATATTTTCTGGTTAGAACTTATTTTGGGGGAAATACGGTACTAAATGCATCTGTCTGGCTGATGATGTTAATTGGGGCTTATTTTGGGGGTGGGGCTTATATTATGAGCATCCTGAAAAATCATGCTAGGGCTTATTTTCCGGTTGGGTCTTGGTTTTGGGGAAACACGGTATATTAAAATAAACAAAATATGATGCAAGGCATAGTTTACTTAATTTCACTTAAATATTTACCACAGCAATGGTATTTGTAAAATAATATTTAACTTCAAATTGTGAGTCCATATTACCACCACACATAAATTCTTCCTATTATAAATGCATTGGATTACTATATTTAAAAATATACTTTCCCACAAGTCATTAAATATCTATCAAGAACCATTGTTTATACTGTTTGGTTCTTAAGAGGCTAATGTCAAGATCTGATATATGAAAAAAATGGTTAGACATCTCAATTTTTATATTAAAATAATGTTGTACATAATGTGCTAATATGTTTACTTGGCACTGCAAGAGATGTGTTGGTTAATTTTTGATGAATACAGTACCATAATTATTAACTTACATTGTATAATGAAGGTAAGGTTTATGTACAGCAGCCGGTAATTGTTTCTTTGGTGATCCTGGCTGGCAACTAGTTTCAAATATTGATGAAACATTTTCATCTTCACTATCATCCAAAATTAAATTTGGTGCATCTGTTTAATTAAAATAAAGATCTGATTAATATATAATATTGATCCCCTTGGAAGTATTAAAAGAACAATAATTTTCCAACACAGATTAAAATACACAAGCCTTTCACAGAGAAAAATTTAAAAAGTCAAGCCCAACATATTCAAATATTTAATCATCTTAAAATTCTTTCAATCCTGTTACAGAATTGATATTCTCAGTTATCAACACAGTTCTTTAGGAGTTATCATTCTGCTTAGAGACAGTGATGAAAAGTAAAGGAAATAAAATAAGTTTGTATCAGCTACCTAAAAACCTCCTAACAGTCTTCATCAAAAAATTACCAGAATACAAGTTCCAATTAGTCTCAACACTTTCTGACCTTGAGGACAAAATAACAAACAAAACCCATGTGTTTTAAAGGTCATTCACGCAATTTCTGCATTCTTCTACAATGGGAAAGCTAAGGCACCTTTTGGGTTTCTGAAAATGTCAAATTGCCAAGCCCAGTCTAAACATTGCTAAACAAAATAAACTTGGAGTAAATCTGTACTTTAAAGAGAGCAATAAGAAACATAAAACAAGCTATGTTGGAATATTCATTTTTTAAAAAAACAAACTATTCCCCCCCCCCCTAATATTTAGTACTTCTCTCAAGTTCATACAAGGAGTTGTTTTATTTCAATGCCTTATCTGTCATTGTTTAGAATAATTAAGAACAGATAACACTTATTTTTGTCCACTCAAATTTGTCTGGCTAAAGACAGTCTGTGATTTATTGATCCAAAAAAGAATTATAACTTTGCATTTGCAAGAATTTCCCCTGCATTACATTAAGGTAGAGCCTCGCTCCGAATGATACTCTCCCCGCAATATTTTCCAATAAAAGTTAAGAGTCGCACTTATACAGAAGTGATACTCATTGCCCATTATCTCACTTTATTCATCTCACTGTTGAGGACCGATCACAGCAATCTCTGAAAACCAATAATAGTCATCAATCAAATCAAGAAATATGTAACTGATTAAATTACTGTACAGGCAGTCCTCAACTTATGACTAGTCGCTTAGCAACTGTTCAAAATTGCAATGGGCCTCATGGGACTATTTACAACATGCATTTTAAGTTATGATGGCTGCTCTCTCGCCAAATCACACAATTGCATTTTGAGTGCTTGGAAATCAGTCCACAGTTATGGCCATTTGCAGTGTCCTACGGTCATGTATTGCAATTTAAGTTTTTTTGCTAGAAACGTGCATTTATTTCTGGCAAAAAAGGCCCAATGCAGATAATGGATTTGCTCAACGACCATGGTGATCCACTTAACGACTGTTGCAAGGCAAGTTATAAAATTGGGCACAATCACATGGTGATCCACTTAATAGCCGTATTTGCTGTATGTATTTATTGGGTTTATGCACTGCTGCAGTCAATCACCTCTTGGTGGCTTATAATAAAATGACAATTTAAACATCTAAATTCTGACATATATGAGAATAAGAGAAAGAAATATGGTACAATAAATTAAGTCAGCAAACTCATGAAAATGCTTTCTGGAATAATTCACTTTTTAATCGTTTCCAAAAGGCTAGAAGGGAGAGAATATAGTTTGACAGATTGCTTGAGATTGTGTTCTCCTTCTCTTCTTGGTCCTCCCCCATTGTCAGAATGACTCAGCTGCCAATCAAACTACAGTTGCCAATCAAATTGCAGCACTGGGCAGGAGGACAGGCAAGATGGCTGCCAGGAAGTTCTGCTACCACAGACCTCATTAGGAAGAAGCTGGGTAATCTGAACCCAAATCCAGAAAATAGTGTAGGTAAACAGTTTAGAAATACTAGTTCAAATAGAAAATCATTTTATTATTAAGATTCATTTCTGCACTAGTCAAAGGCATTGATTTACAATGTTCCTTTTTTATTTGCAAGCTTTCCTTTTGTAAAATAAAAATCTCTTTCCATCCATTGAAGAGAAATACAAAAACCCAATCAATTTCTAGTGTTTTGTGTTTACTGAGTCTGGGTCAATTTGATTATTAGTGATTCAAAAAAACAAAACAAAAACCTTTTGGGCACCAGGGACCGATTCCGTGGTTTTTCTGCCGACTGGAGAGTGTGTGGTTTTGTGTGCTGCCTGCATCCCATGGATAGGCGGACTGGTTGCTAGCGTGCCGCGGCCCAGTACCAGTCCACAGACTGGGGGTTGGGGACCCCTGTGCTACAACAGAGAAGCAGCGCCACCTAGCTGGAATTTCAAGGACCAGTCGTAACCACCACTTGTTCAACGTCATTGTAACTTCAAACATTTTCTGAATGAGTGGTCATTAACTGTGGATTACCTGTACTTTCTTTTTTCTCAAAGCTCAAGGCAGGTTTCTGAATGTTTTGCTTCATAATGGTTTCTGAATGTTTTCCCCAAAGTCATCCCCTTGGCTCCCTAAATTCAGAGAGCAAAGAACTCTCTTAAATTATTTCAGATATGCCCATTTTTTTCTGCCATCAGCTTATTTTTATTTTATACTTTATTGCCATTCACTTCTACCACCCTATCATTTAAAAAAAAATCAATCTTAGGCTTCTACAGGAACTAAGAGACTGCCATAAAATGGATTAAAAACACAGAAATACCTTCTCTTTTGTCACCCTGACTGAATTCAGCATGAGGAAATACTTTATGTAAAACAGCCAGAATCTCGTTGAAGGTTCTTTCCAACAATGGCCTTATGATGGGAGACAAAGCATGCCCTGATGATGTTACAGCACGTTGAGAAGCAGGCACGATATTCTGCATTGCATGATAGAAGTCTTGTGCACTGAGAACTATTGAAGAAACATCAAGCTGCAATTTTTGACTGCTCGCATAGATCTGAGGATAGCGCCGTCGCAGGGCAATCAAGGCAGCTTCAGTACAAAGTGCTTTTATGTCAGCGCCACAGTATCCTAAGGCATGAAAATAAAACATACAGTAGTTCTATTAAATAGTATCGATATTTTGTGCATGTCAAGCACGTCCACAAAGCTGAATGTGAACAGCAATATTCTACTGGATTCATACTGCACTGACCAGTGTGTATGTATAACCTAGATGATCTAAGAAAATAAATATTGAAATCTTCTTTTAAACAAAGAATACTCAAGAACACATGTAAGAAAACTGTGAGAGAAAATCTAGGAACCTATAAAAAAAGGAGAAATATACACATACAAATTAATGTTAATGTTAGTCTATACATACATGAGTGGAATTGTACCCAAACTAGCTAGCTAATAAAGCAGTAACTATGACAAAATGGATTCTCTTCCTATACCAAAATGTCTTTTGGGAAATGAGAACCAAAATAGATCAGGCAGGAAAGAATTTGAAAATTTTGTCACTTCACATACCATTGTGCATATTATAGATAGATGGAGAGAGAGAGAGAGAGAGAGAGAGAGAGAGAGAGAGAGAGAGAGAGAGAGAGAGAGAGAGAGAGAGAAAGATTAATTTCAAGAAAGTATTTGGCAATGACATCTCCCGATTTAATTAAAAAAAAGAACCTTTGCTTTGGGTTCACAGGGAAGAATGTCTATTTTCTACATTAAAAGCTCAGTAACTAAACAAGGTGGTGAGTTCTGTCCCTCTGCTTCCATGGTAACTACTTAATGACCATCCTCTCCAAAGATCAAGGCGCAACCTCACTGCTAAAGTGCAAGTTTCATAGATCGTTCTCTGAACAGCTACAGTTACTGTGATCCTGCAAACCTTCACAAAAACTCAAAATGTTTAGATTGCTATATAATTTGGGCTGGAGTACCGTGCAAGATTATTTTCCATTTTCTAAGAAGGTTTGAACAAAATTAAGTGGTTTGTAAACCTAACTCAATTTTATTTCCACTGGCTGAGAGCCAGAAACCGGGATTTTTCTGGGCAATGTTTCAGTGTAAACAGAGAAAAATCCCCATTTCAAAATCCATGTTCTTTCATAGTATTTGCTATCAATAAATGCCACACAAAATCTAATTTCTGAGCCTTATTAGCCTCAAGTCTAGCTCTTGATAGAATTTTTAATTAGTTTATGGCTCATTTTCTCAATTTAATTATCAGGAGATCCAATCTAAAATTAAGTCCTATTCACTTTCCTTTTGGAACAAATTGCATTCCAATTTGTTTCCTTCTTTTAGGGCAACTCTGCAAGAAATTATACTGCCCAACAAAGTAACTGCAAGCTTTCAAACAAAAAAAATAGATCCTTGTGTAATGAAATATGCAACACTTAAAATTTATATAACTTGGCTGCAATCATTGTATGTCTCAGTGCAGTATTTTACCATTCCTCTTCACTGACAAATTGGTATCTTACAGAATGTAAGTACTTTTTAGTACTAGGTGCTAGTAAAAACTACCTAGATAATAAAGCTCCGCTTTGGAATATTTTATACAAATAAAAGATGGCTATTGTCAGCTACTGTCATATCACTTGCTTATCTAACCATCCATTGGCAATATTCTGTGTCTGGTTTAGTGTTCCTGGAAGATGCTAAAATAGGATGTTTCTGGATGACTAAGCCCTCTAATTAAAATTCAAATGATGCAATGTTCAAACTCAGGGCTGGAACTATAGATTACTAGGCAAAATATGCTAGTTTACCAGGAAAAACAATAAAGTTATTTACCTGACTCTATAGTGGAAAGCAGAAATAGAAACACTTCCCCCTCCAGAATGTTGAATTATCATTCTCATGGTTCTTTATTTATTTATTTATTTATTTATTAATTGCATTTATATCCCGCCCTTCTCCTTTCGGACTCAGGGCGGCTGACAGATGATAAAAAGCTAACATAAATACATATTACACCTAGTTAAAATTTAATTAAAACGAAATATTTGAGAGTGTCCAATTAAAAGTAAGTTAGCTAGTGGAATTTGATAATTAAATTCAAAACTCCTGTGAGTGTCTGTCTGTCTGTCTGTCTGTCTGTCCGTCCCTCCCTCCCTCTATCTATCTATCTATCTATCTATCTATCTAGCTAGCTAGCTAGCTATCCATCTAGCTATCTATCTATCATCTTTGTAGGCTATCCACTCAGAATGATTCTGGATGACATACAGAAGCATGAAATCAGTACAACAATCAAAACCATAAAAAGGAAAAGGCAACCAAACAGTCGAAGAAAAGAGGTTCAGGACTGTTTGGAACTCTGAGAGGAAGCTGTTTCACTGGGCAGGTGTCATGACAGAGAAAGCATGCCTCCTACATATCTTCAGATTACATCACTTAATAAATGGAAGCATGCGGACAGTCAGTTCTTACAAAATGGGCAGATACAGGAAACTACTGATAACCAGATCAAGTAACAGTGTTACATAGGCATAGCATATCATGGCCTAACTCCTTGGGCCACCATGTTGTAGACTAGCTGAAGTTTCCAGATAGTCTTTAAGAGCATCCCTCTGTACACTGTATTGCAGTAATCTAGCCAAGAAATAACTAAGACATGAGAACATGCGAATAAGCACAAAAGCGCGAGCACACGCATACGCACACATACACACCACATATAAACCCGATCTAGATGTGAGTGCAACTGTAACACAAAGGTTTCTGGGCTGCAGCTGCCATTTGTTTCTCAGGCAGGAGCTGTGAGGTGTTTATTGAACCAATATATAAATGGTTAAAAATAAAACTTAAGCCTGCTCATAGCATAGTTGATTTTAAAGTACAAATAAGGCCAGCATACTGTGATATTCTTTGATTTACTCTTTCTATCTTGTAACAATCAGAAAGAAGAAACTTCAGGATAATGTTCTCAATAGTCTGATAATAGATTATGGGAGAATTGCTTTCCTGCAATGTGCCTAAACAATATTACGCCTAATAGTTTTGTATTATATATACAAAAGACAATATTCATATTTTAAGTTTTAATATTTTATATTTTTATTCTGTGTTTAATTTTATTTTTCCATCTGTGTACACTGCTCAACAGTAAAATATTTTGTATGGTTTTTTTTCTGCATTAAACATAGCATATAAAGGAAATTAATAATGCATTTATGCAATGCGGAAATTCATAATATTTTCAAAAATATGGAATAATAAATAGAAAAGAATTTCACATGTAAAAAGATATGTAACGGTAAAGAGTTTTAAATGAAGTATGATTTCAGGAAAGAACTGGCATGCAAGAGATTGATATGAGAGCTATAGCATGTTTTGTATTTACCAAATAGTATTTTGGAAGATGATCTTCTATAAAGTTATTTTACTTCAATATTTAAAAAGAATACAGCTATTCACTTGAAAAATTTGTGTGAAGTAAAACAGTGCAGAAATGGAAGCTGAAGCTAATATAGCTTGATGCACTTAGATCAAAATAAGAAACTATAATTATCCATCAGAAGTTAGTCTTAAAATGGGAGTAAAATAAGGATTATCCAAGCTTTATGAGAGGACTACAAGCATCCTACATAGCACTGAATCAGTTAGCAAGTCCTCACAAGCAGCTGCCTTAGAATATACACATAAAATATAGAGAAGAGATACTAATGTAAAATAACATAATATAACTTCAGGTTCATCTGATGACCTTTGCTATGAAAGAATTTACCATCGAGCTGAAATTCAAGAGAGGTTTTTGAATTTTAATAATACCTCTGATGAGGTAGCCTCTAAAAAAATTAAATATTTTAATCACGGTACAGAATATGTAACAGCAAGCAATGAGTTCAAAAGATGATGATGTAGTTAAAGATTGATGGAAATAAGAGCCACATGAAAAGTTATAAATTCCCAAGTAAATAAAGTTCAGTTGTTAAAAATCTTCTATAATTCAACCTTGTGCCCTATTTAATACATTATTTTCATTCATAATATATATTTATATTGGAAGGAAGAGTGCAATAAGAAAATCAGGTTATCCAAAGACCGAAAGCTTAGATCACATAAACTAAGATATATCACATCAAGATGTGGAATTAATATAAAGAAATATAAAGAAGTTGTAGATGAGGAGGTTCCATGGTACCAAAGCAGATCATCCAGATTCAGTCAGTTTTGTTCCATACAGTATACCCTTGTGAACTCTAAAGCGTCCTCCTTCCGTTATGTATTCAAGATGGACAATGATTAATATTTATATGTTACTTATATGTAAAGGTGTAGGTCTATACATATGTTGTACATAGTATGTTTAAATGTGTGTTATGTACTGCATGTGTACACTTTGAGAGCAAGCAACTAAATTTCATTTTTAATGTGTGCCATTGTGCCCATAGCAAAAAATGACAGTAAATCTTATCTATCTATCTATCTATCTATCTATCTATCTATCTATCTATCTATCTATCTATCTATCTATCTATCTATCTATCTATCTATCGTTCTATCGTTCTATCTATCTATCGTTCTTGGAAAGTGGAATAAATAAAGTAAATAATAAAAACAATGAGATTTGTTACCAGATGGAAACAGAAGGGGAGGAAAAGTCTCGAATTTTAGTTCATGTCACAAACCGTACATTACAGAAGAAATTGCAAACTGGAACAACTAAAATGCCCGAAGAATGAACACCTCCATTTTTAAGAGCAGATTTTAATATTGCCTTAACTGGTTTATTATAAAAAAAGTATATGGGATATCAGCACATATTAAATATATCTGATACATAACATAAAATAACCACAGACTGGAAGAAAAGTTTGACTGAGGAGTCCTCATGAATATGCAAGTAAATGTTTACAAATTACTTAAGTAAAATTTGATGCAATCAGGGAGTTCTGTTAGTATGTAAAGTACTTGTGTGAGTTAAAAATTCTCAAATTTTCAAGAGCTGGAAATATGTGGCTTTTATTTTATGATTTTACATCGTATCATCCTGACCTTATCAACTACTTCTATATCAATATTATTTTTCTTCCCATCTCAAATTGTCTAGAAACTTAGAAAATGCTACATTTCCATTTAAACCTGCATTTCAAACTGCAGGAAAATTTCTGTAGAGCTTCAAACTCTGGTTTCATAAGACCTGAATGGCATAAGACACAGATAGATCACCAACTACTTTGATAATGCTTCTGGGTCCGTTTTTCAAAAGATGACCCAATGAAGTATGCTTCCATTGTTTTTATGCATTTTCTAGCCATTTTGCATTATATAGGTCAGTGATGGCGAACCTTTTAGAGACCGAGTGCCCAAACTGCAACCTAAAACCCACTTATGCATCGTCGGGTGCTGGGTGGGTGTGGCCCATTGGGTGGGCGTGCCTGCGGTAGTAACAGCAGACTGGGTGGGACTAAAAAGTTCAATCAATCAATTCCAACTTTGCAAGATCTCCCCCCAAGAAGTTGAAATTGATTGATTGATTGAACCTTTTTTTTTTGTACACGGCGACGGAGGCCTAAAGCGAAAAGGTTTTATAAAACCCAGCTGAAGGCCTAGGACTAGGGCGACAGCGCGCGTGCCCACAGAGAAAGCTCTGAGTGCTGCCTCTGGCACCCGTGCCATAGGTTCGCCACCACTGATATAGGTATTTCATGCAGGTCTGTATCCAGGTTTTCTTAAAACCCCACACAATTTCTATTAACATTTTAGTTTTCCGTCCAATAGAATTTAGCCTTAAGAAGCCACTCGGTAATAACTAGGATTTGTGTACAGATTCTAAGATCAAAACAAAACATTAAAATGTTTAAACTAAGAACAAATCATTAGTGAAATCTATGATTATTAAGCATGTTACTTCTGCAAAATGCAGCCTTTTCTTCTTTATGACCCAAATCTTTCTTAGTGGCAATATCAAAAGCAAGCAAACTTTTCCCTCTAGAATTCCCCACAAGGGCTGAATAATAGAAAGTGTTTATCAATGGCATCAAATAAAACACTAAGTAAACATGTGAGTTTAAAAGATGCACATAAATTTTTAAAATGCCGAACAGACTATGTATTACAAGCTTTTAAAACAAAAAATGACTCATCTTTGTAAATGATGAAAAAGTGTTATTCTTTTATTAGACTTGCACAATATTTGTGAGATTTAAAAATAAAAAGATTCCTCTATCTTCAAAGGAAAATGGTTTTTTTTTCTATTTTAGACTTAACAGATTTTTCTGCAAATCTAAGCAATCACCCACGTTATATGGCATATTTTTATAAGATCTGTAAGAGAGGTCTTCACATTCATAAAATATCACTTTTCAAACTGAAATATTGGTCAACGAAGGACCCAAATTGTATTTTCTATCTGCTAAATGATTGTTGTAGAGTCACTAAAAGAATCTATATGAAATGGATTTGGCACATGCTTTCTTACACCAGACAAAGCTCAATTTGTCATTTGTTGGATAATTGCTTTCTTCTCACCAGAAGATGTTGGGGTCTTTGCAGATCAAAAGTGGAAGAATGCTGCTTCGGAGATAGATGTTCCTGTGGATGAAGAGGATAATTCGGATGTACAGTATCTGTCTGAATGGACGGCGCTCAGTTTAAAATGTTATTGTTCTGTTGGAGAGTTGAATGATCTGATGCCGCTGTTTTTCAAAATTGAAGACTAACACAAGATTGACAGAAGATGAGCATTGTTTTGAAGAGACTGTGTTTTTAGTGATGTATTTGCAATACTAAAGTATGTCTCTTAGCAATCTTATTCTGATGCTCCGTCTTTAGTAAGAAACAACTGCAACAGTTGCTAATATAGTAAGATTTTTATTTTGTTCAGCAAATCTGCTATGCAGTATTTCATGTCTGGTGTTCCATAATATGTTTTAGGTATGTATAGTGCCCAACTCAAGAGACAGAAAATCCTATCCTGTGCCAGTCATTCACTTAAGCTAATTATACTTTAGAATTTGGAGGATTATTAAGGTAGATGTTTTTAGTTGCAAACCATATCATAAAAAAATATTGTAGGAAAGCAAGCATTTATCCCAATTTTATTTGTTGAATAATCACAGCTGATATTAATTCTTCCTTATAAAACTTTATCCTATTGGTTTTGGAACTGTTTTGCATAGTCCTATGAAAGAACATGGATCATGCCAAGATTTTTCAAAATATATTAAGATTTGAGGTAATGACAGGAAACTTTGGCAAATGGCATGAAAATAAATACTTACATTTTCTAACATGAAATAACATGAACCTTCAAATATAAAATGGAAAAAGTGATCACAATTAGAAATTTAATCAGAAAGCTTCGAACATTCTTGAATGTTCTTTCAGGAATGAAAACAGAAAGCAAAATAATAAGATGGTACCACTCACCAACACATTTTTCAGCTAGTTCTCCTAAAAAATGATTGGACAATTTTGGATTCCAGTCCCTGGTATGAATTTGTAAAATGTGCTTTCTTGCCTAATAGAGAAATAAAGATATTTTTAAAACTTCATCACAAAATTGTATCAAATACATCAGTCATACAAATAGTTCATCAACTTCTCTTTAATATATTTTCTCCAAAATCATTTAGTATAGAAAAGTTATTGAACTAAAGAAGTATCATAATAAAGGACTGCTATTGGAATGTTTAGGGTAGAAATATCGATAGCAAAACTGACTCTAATAAATTTTTGTTCTAAAAGCAGCTAAAGAAGTATGCATTATTCTCTTTTAATTATTTACTACTCTATATAAATATTATAAATATAGCATTGTCAGTCTAGTAAACATAACTATAATGATTCAAAGGAAGATTTCAATAAACGTATGCTAATATAAAAATTGATGTTGTGAGCTATGCAGCAATACTTCGGTTGGTAAACAGAATGCTCATAATCAAAAAGCTTCTAGCATGGTTGTTTTGAATAAGTTTCAAGCTCATATCGGAATGAAGTGCATTATATCTAGTTTCAGGCAAAAGCTAACAATTCCACTGGGAATACTGAAGGGTCTAATATCTTGGATTGGGGTAGATATGATTTAACTACAGCAATTTTCCACATATAATAAGCATTATCTGAGACTATGAAGTTCTCATCATTTCAAAAATTAGCTTGGAATATGAAAGCACAAGAAACTATAAGACACATAAAGATAGCCTTTTATATGCCTACCTTTTGATCAGGCAAACTAAAAAGAAATTCCCTGTCAAAGCGACCTGGTCTCCTGAGTGCTGGATCTATAGAATCAAGTCTGTTTGTAGCACCAATGACAACTATTTCACCTCTGTTGTCCAATCCATCCATGAGTGCAAGTAATGTAGACACAATAGAGCTAAAACATATCACAACATAATTTTGCTTAGGGCAAAGTATTAATAGAGACATGCAGCATTTCAAATTTAACTTTAAACAAACAAGTGACAAGTACATATTGCCAAAACATAGGGTAAAGATAAAGATTTCCCCCGTTCAATTGTGTCCATCTCGAGGGGGTGACGCTCATCTCCGTTTCTTAGCTGAAGGAGCCAGCATTGTCCAAAGACACTTCCATGGTCATGTAGCCAGCAGGATTATATGCTGAGGAGCACAGAATGCTGTTACCTTCCCACTGAAGTGGTACCTATTTATCTACTTGCATTTGCATGCTTTCGAACTGCTAGGTGTCCAGGAGCTGGGGCAAATAATGAGAGCTCATCCATTGCATGGCACTCGGGTCTCAAACCTTGGCTGTCAGCATTCCAGCTGACAAGCTCAGCATCTTTAACCACTGAACCATCACACCACCTTTTGCCAAAACATAATTAATCCTGAATTCTACTTGTTTAGACGTTCATGAATATTGATTCTAGTTTTGTGGCCCACTTTTCTATTTCCAGGGCACTTAAGTTACTCTCTCTCTCTCTCTCTCTCTCTCTCTCTCTCTCTCTCTCTGTGTGTGTGTGTGTGTGTGTGTGTGTGTGTGTGTGTGTGTGTGTGTTTATGTGTGTGAATTAAAACCAATTTTTTTTTAAAAAAAAAATCTTAAATACTTAAAATCATTAATCAACTTGAAAATCCTGACTAAAGTGAACATGGAAACTGGGAGCTAAACACAACTCTTAAGGAAGTGTTTTTTTAAATCTGGGTGTGATGCAAGAGAGGGATCTCGTCTATGGGCCAGATAAACGGAATTCTGAAATCAGGGTACATTTTTAGGAGATCTCCTATTTTCAATATTAGTGTTTGGGCACACTAAGATAGGTGGCTGTTATTTGAGGATTTAAAGGTTAAAATTTGTATTTTGAATTCAACCTGAAAAACAGTCTGCAAATAGATTCTGAACATGATTTTCACGCACTTAGGGTCATATCGTAGCTACCAAAATGTTGCATCAATTATGTAAGACAAGAAAATCTTTCACCATCAGATACCATGCTCACCCTCAGATGCCAACTCCATTCTAACAAAATGTAAAAGCTAGAATAAGCTCTAGTGCATGGTGAAGAGTTTAAGATGCTAGCTGAGAGTCATAGTTGCTTTCCTGATCTATTCAATAACCTTAGTCTGAATGTTAATGTCAGACTTATAGAACAGTAAGTCTCAGACAGAGGTAAGAAAGAAAAGTTTTCCTTTCCCTTAATTGTTTCTCTCAATATTTTCATTTAGAATTAACCTGGATAACATGAATGTTTTAATTGTGATGTTATTAAAAAGCTAGAAGACCATCTAATTATCATGAAGGGGTTTTTTTTGTTAGATAATAATCTGAAAGGAGAGGCTATTCTTGAAATAGCCAGTCTCTCAATCTATTTCCAAGCAGGTAATTAATTCAATGTTTATTCTCATCCATGTCCTTTCTGTCTCAGACTCAGTAAAGTAGTCCTATTTTCACTGCACAAATGAAAATGACTCCTTTTTGTGTGCCAAGAACCCACTAAGTTATATTCAACATCTAAGAAAGGTCAAATGTTACAATCACGGGATCAATGGAATAAGGAAGGCAAAAGGTACTGAGTTAGGCTGAGTGGCGCAAGCATTTGACAAACGAGCTATTTAATTGTCCCAAGGATGCTTTTCAAAATGGCAACAGGACTTTGTTGGTTTTTTTCTTTGAAAACATTTCACTTCTCATCCAAGGAACTTCTTCGGTTCTGACTGCATGGTGGGAAGTGGAAGGAAATTTCCACTATTTATGCATCCAGTACTACATACACTAGAAGTAACATGCTAGTCTCACCTGTGAATTTGGTCTTGTCTACTGGAGCGGACAGGGGCCAAGCCATCTATTTCATCAAAAAAGATTATGGATGGCCTCATCAGGTATGCCTGGGGTAAGCAAAAAACAAAATAAAATAGATATGAAAATAATTTTTATACTTTTAAAAGATGCAACAAAAATATCTTTAATTTCTGTATTGAATTGGAAACACTAAGGTTTTAGAGTTGACTCATAATTATAAAGCCAAGAAAATGCATTAATTCTGCCCTGTCTACATACTGCAGATTACCTTCCACAGCTAATAGGTAGACTTCATGATGCCAGAACCTGGTAGCCTCCACATGAGTAGTGATAGGGTGGATTAGGATTGGGGGAAGGTAATATGCTTATCCCTGCAGCCCCATGTCAAATGTGAAAATAAACTTTAAAAGCTCTGGAAAAAAAAAAGAAATTGGGCCCTCTTTGTAGCTTATTGAAAAATATTTCTGCATTTCAAAGCAGTTGATCTTTTGAGTTTTCTGAAAATTTCCTTTGAACTAAGCTCAATTCCCAATGACTCTTACTGATGACCTAAAATTTGCGGAGCTTTCTTGGTAACATTACAGAAGTGGTTTGCCTTTTCCTACTTCCAGGATATATTTCAACAGACTACCCTACAGCTGCAATCTTTCATGGTGATCTTTCATAGATGTACTAATCAGGTCCATTCCTAATCGGCTCCACAAGATTAGCTATTGGTGGCTAGGGTGTAATCTACGCAAATACCATCTCATCTAATGCCAGTTACACAGACACAAAATATTTCTTCATGTCTTGTTATGATTCATGGTTATCCCCAGCAATTGTTTCTACTCTTTGCTGTTATTTCACATTTAATAACGTTTTCTTTTTCCTACAATGACTCCAACAAATATTAATAGAGGAACACACCATGATCCAAGGCAGTTAGTTAACTCAGTCTGGCAATATGACAACAGGGACTGGAAACAAAATCAGTTTTCATCCAGCTATTCTGAATGGGAAATGCTTTTGCCCATTATGGCATTACGTTTGCAAACACAGGGGGGATATATTAGCAATTAGCAAAAAATGTTCACATGAACCTCTCGCTTCAGCTGAAGGACTGAATACATAAAATTGTGTACTAACTTGATCAAAGAGGAGTCGAAGCTGCCGTTCAGATTCACCAACCCATTTGCTGAGACAGTCTGCTCCCTTCCTCATAAAAAAGGCAACTTTTCTGTCTCCATGAGTGCATTCATTGGCCAGAGCTCTAGCCACCAAGGTTTTACCTGTTCCAGGAGGACCATAAAACAAACAGCCCCTGAAGACAAATGGACAGACACAAATCACTATTTCTTTTTCTTTATAAACAGCCCAGTATTTGCTACCCACATAAGGGACACAAGAGCTCAGTGATCTGTTTTGGATACCCAGTGAAATGAAAGTTATTGCTAATTAAAAACAATGAAGGGGGAAAGGAGAAAATATTTACAAGGAGTGGTTATTATTTTTAATCTATGTTATTTTTTTTCTATTTTAACAAAAATGTCATTCACTTTTTTCTAATATGCTGGGCCAATTTATTGTTGCATATAAGCATCATAAATTAACATGAACATCAGAGATAGGGCATACATGTGACATCTCGGGTGTCAAGTGGGCAGCTACAGTATATAAATCAAATATTCTTGAACCAATGCAAATGAATAAAGTTATAACACTAGTTTTGTTATAACTAAATAGCAATCTCCCAAACTTCCTGCTCTCATGCAACCATTAGTTCTGGTAAATTGGGCAAGGAGGAATGAAAACAGTGATGAGCCTTGGGACAAAAATTAGTCTTTGTTAGGAAAATCCTATGCTTAGCTGTCTCATACAGCACATATACAGCATCAAACTTTTACAGTGAGGAATTTTGCCAACTTTTAGTTTCTTTGGAGGCTTTCCATGACTATTTTCCATCTTTATTGGCATCCATTCATCTTTAAAAATTCAATAGCTCCTTTCATAAGTCACAGAACCCACAATGCTATTCTGCTTCTGTGTTACATTTAAAAATCAAGCTGCTTTTTTCATGGTCTTGTGAAACATACTAGGGAATCAAATCTAAATTCTGCATTCCTAAGTTACATGGATATGAACTTACACATATCTGAGGACCTGACATATCTGAGGCCTTACACATATCTGAGGACCTGACATATTTCGGAAGCCTTTTGAAAATTCCATAGTTTCCCAACCATTATTGAAATCAAAAGTTTAATTTTAGAAGATAATTCTGAATAAACAAACTTAGTTGCATTTTTCTTTGTATAGGATGGATCAATATTGATTTATTCCGTATTTTACAATATTACTGAACTAATTCGCTTTGTTAAATTTTTCACAGAAGTGGAGAATGGTTTTCGTCTGACAGCTCTATCTTCCTTAGCTTTCTCACACTTCTAGATTGGCAACTTTAAATTGTGAAAGATATAAAATACCTTTTCTGCAAGAATTTTTTTTTAAGCAAGATATTTCATCAAATGTCACACTAATGTATTTGACTTGGCCTATTATCTTCTTCTCTCAGCAAACTTAACAATTTCAGCAACTTTCTCACAACTATACCTTTTTTCCAGAGATTTGGAGGCATATTGGGGCATGAGGCAGAGAATCTGATCTAGGAATGGCTTTTTTTCTGCTTAAGTCAGACAGGTGAATCCAACTGCAGGCAGCAAAACCAGGAGTGTCCCCTCCCCCTTCAAATAATTTCCACTATGTTGTACCTTTTAATCTGACAAAAAATAAGATCTTAAATTAAAGAAATATGGGAAATAATGGCCCGTGTGGTTTATTTTAATTAAATTACATTAATTCAGATCTAGCTTTTAGCTATTATTTACAATAGCCCTAAATCCAGCAAAGTTTCTGTATTCTGGTAGATTAATTCAAGTGTAAATATGAACAAAGCCTACCTTGGTGGCTGAATTTTGAATTTTTCAAATATTTCAGGATACAGAAGAGGAAATATAACCATTTCCTTAAGTGCATGAATATGATTGCTCAACCCACCTATACTATCAAAACGGACCTAAAAGGAAGATAAAAAGCAATAAAAGAAATTAGCATTTGGAAATATAGCTTATCATTTGCCCAGTTTACGTGGAAAAGCCATCAAACATATTTCAAACTTTCAGTAACAAAAATATTATCCACAATGGTTTACTTTTAATCTGGTGTAAGCAAAGTAGCCATAAACATTTCATTCTTTAAGACTGAATTTTACAAAGCCGCTTAAAGATTTTCCTTTTAGCACAGATAGTCAATTCTAAACAAAGAAAAGCACACCGATTTGTCAAGAGTCATTGGATCCACGTCAGCCAAGCTTGCTCCAACTTTCACCCGTTCACGCAGGACTCCACTAGCCAAATCTTCTGCTCTGAAATTCATTGGCAGACATCTATGACATATTTTAAAAAAAACATGAATTTCATGCTGTATAAAGATGCATGCCTAGAATGGAACTGTGACTTTTCAGGTACAGTATTTCATCTTGTCCCACAAATACAATGAGAACTTTAGTCATTAGAGAGAGAAAAATATGATTTTCATAAAGACATAATGGACAAATAACCTCACTGCCACTCCCAAAAGTAAGAAAATTCAAATAATACTTCCAAATAAATTGGGCTGCATTTGAAATTACATTCAGTGGAATTCTGCTAACAGCAGAGGAAGGAAGAAGGCAGTACATTTTAGAAACAGTTGGGATGGGCCCAGTCTATAATTCATGTGAAGTCCCTGGCTGCCCTTGTTCAGACTTCTTATTCTTCATATTCTTCTTCATTAAGACTTTAGGCACTTGTTAACAATCCCATACAAAGGGGGGGAAAACACGGAAGGTAAAACTTTTAGTCCACACATTCTGATAATGTCAGTATGCCCCCAGCCTAAAAATGTTGCCATTCTTTTCTATGCGATCTCATATGCCCTGAAAAGTTGTCAAATAGGTACACAATTTTATAGAATAACCTTGAAGGCATTCTGTTCCGTGATGACAAGAAAGATATTCTACTCTGTTCTGGCATAGAAGGTACCGATTAGGACCAAAGAAGAACAATAATCAAGAAAAAACAATGCCTCATTCCTTTACCTCCAATAGAAATGCAAATTTATGTTCACAGATGGGCAAGTCTGAAGAAAGCCCATGATATCAAAACATGTTTTACATGTATAACTTCTATGAGTAGAAGATAATATTTGCAGCTGAGAGTTGAATTGTGGGGTCCTTGGTGCTCTCTGAGCTTGGTTGTTTTCTTGCAAACATTTTATTAACAAGCTAGATAACATTATCAATGAGCACTGATGATGTTTCCTATCCTAGTTTGGTAATGAAACATGTGCAAGAAAACAACCAAGCTCAGAGAGCACCAAGGACCCCACATGTATGACCGTGCCTCGTAACAGCACCCTTAATTAGAATACAACAATTTCCACATGGTTGGCAAATTTCATCAGGCCAAGCACATGGAACCAATCCATTTTTCCCCCGTAGCTGAATGATGACAAAGAAATTGTTACCTGTTTCTCGCTCTTGCCATGCTTTTAGATTTTCTTCTTTCAAATCGTTCTTCATCTGAAGAGGTTGTATCACTACTATGAATGGCGTGTTTCTTTCTCCTGCGGAAGCAATAGAACATTTCACTGAAGATCAGTGTGCCCTGAATTGTGCTTAGTGAATGTGAACAAATTAAAACAGATAATTTAAAGCAGGGATGTTAAACTGCTGGCCCGTGGGCCGGATGCATCATCCGGAAGCCACGCCCACCGTTGCCGGCAATGGCTAAACTGTCCCAATACATTGCGCGACGTCACGAGTTTGACATGTCTGATTTAAAGGTTGCAATGTCTTTTGTTTAATGTTTCTCTTGTTTTCATCACTTGATCTGGTTCAGATGCCACAATACACTGATATGTTAGAGAAGCAACAAGACACAGCAATCCTTAGTCTTCCCTATATACCCAAACTCTGTTGTTCCAATGTAAAGGAGAAATTGTGGTTTGATTTTGACTACAAAAGAGGATCAATATTTCAAGTTCTTTAAGACAGATTAAGCCACAATTTCTAAATTGAACTTTAATGGGAAAAATGAACCCTGAAAACAATGCAGAGGAAAGACAATAGGTCATTCTCTATTAGGGACAGAACAAGAATCATCCCATTCATTCCTCATCAAACTTTAATTAAAAACTTTTAATTTATTGGCCCATCATTACCATTAAGTCTGTTTTCAAAAAAGCTAAAAACAATTTTATGCATTTATATTTTATACCCAAAATGTAAGAAACTGACAAAAACAAAAAAAATGGCAAAACTATTCAAAGATTGTTCATAAAACATTACTTCAGCAAAATTTCTGGCAGAAATGGCTTCCAGCATATCAAACTATGACAATGGTTTAGAGGGGTAATTTGAAAAGTATTTCTCTGCATTGTGTTATGCTTTCTTTCTCTTTTATTTTATAGTTGTAAACCACTTCAATATATATCATTGCTGCTAACAGAGGAAGGATGCATTGGCTTAGCTTTTGTATTTTTTACCCAGCCTATTCTTCAAGAAATTATTCCTGAAAAATCCAACATGGTAGCATAATGGCAATAGAAAATATCCTAGTATATTATTTACCTGATATGGCTTCTTCTTGCAGGAGATCTATGAATGTCAAATAATGTGTTTTCCCTTTTCTTTTGGTGTGCTGGAACTAGATAAGATAATCAAGTTGACATGTGAACATTTTTACAGAACTATATAAAAATCTAGTTCCTTGCTGTAAGACAGTGGTTCTCAACCTTTTTAATGCCGCGACCCCCAACCAGTCGTAAGTCGAGGACTAAACCGGTCGTAAGTCGAGGACTAAACCGGTCGTAAGTCGAGGACTAAACCGGTCGTAAGTCGAGGACTACCCAACCGGTCGTAAGTCGAGGACTTTCCCTGCCCGGGAGCACCACGCATGCGTGGTTCTGCCCCCTGCGCCGGCCGAGGCATAGCTGGCAAGCGGCAGAGACGGAGCAGGCCGACCACCAGCTGGCCCAGCTCAAGGGAGGTAAGGCACCCGCCGGAAAAGGGGAAAAAAATGGCGGACAGCCTTGCTTGGCGACCCCCGTGAAATGGTCGATCGACCCCAAATGGGGTCGCGACCCATAGGTTGAGAACCGCTGCTGTAAGACATCTTAATACTTTTCATAAATCAGAAATGTTTGCAAATAAGGTGTATTTCTTCATCCTCTCTTCTCCAAATTTGTTTTCTTAAATTCCGTGTTTATGTGCTCCTAGTCACAGTTGTATTTTAATGAGCCATATTGAATTCTCGTTTTAGAACACCTTTGACTAAACATTGCAGCATAATGAAGGCAAAAGCTTTAATAGAGCAAACTCTATATTGCTGACTTACAAAAGAATTCTCATTGAAATATAGTCATATGCAATTCTGTGTCTTTCACTATGGCGTAGTACAGTGTCTTGATTTAACATTACCAACACAAACAGAAAGGTAAAAAGCCAGGTTTATTAAATACTTCCCAACTCTCCTATCCAACATAATCAAGAAAAGTAATACAAACCAAAAAGTAAGTTAATGTAAGAGTTTGCATGTAATAATAAGCTATAATATTAAACAAATGATGTACTGTTAAACAAATTACCAAAATAATCACAAAGTTTAATTTATCTGAAATAATTTCAGGCAAGCACAAAATAGCAAAGCAGAAATTTATTAAATCAAAATTATTCTGATTTATTATTTATGAAAAACATAGGGAAATGGGTAAGCATTATGCCTTGCATGGATTTATACTAAACAACTTTGCATGCAGTCCCAAAAACATGTTCTGAGTGAGTTGTCCAGTGAGTGGACAGAGATCTTAGAGGCATTTCTAATTTTATCAAGTAGGGACTGTGGCAGAATTATTCATTTATTTATTATATTTACATTCTGGCACAATCAAACAGCTCTTGGTGGTCATGTAAACATAACCACAAACAGGACTATATCTACTTTTTTCAATAAGTAAATCAAAGAAAGGAAAATACAGGACACATAAGATGCTACCTTAAGTAC